CGGGGATCGTCGCGCACCCCGCCTGTCTGCACTCTTGCCGGGAGAAGCCGGGGCTCCGCCCATGTCCATAGAAGGACGACTGAATTCCATGCATCAACGACGCAGCTCGGCGATGTCCACGTACCCGGCGCTGCTAGAACCCGTATGTCGACGGCGTCAACTGCCTCCTACACCTGTTTCCCCATTAAGGAGGTCCAGTAGCCCACGAATTTTACCCACTCCCCCGCCTATATCACCAATGCCTTTGTCTCCAGTTCCCGCCGAATTCAGGTGTCCATCTGCGGTAAACTTGGAGCGGAGATCATCGGGTCGGATATTACCTCGACCGCCAACAGGAGATTCATCATTTCCAAACTCTAATCACACTTCTCCATCCCCAATTCTTACTCCAGAACCCATTCCCGAACTTCCCGTTGAGGTTGACGCTGAAGCGCCCGAATCACCGGTAATTCAGCGATTTGGCGACTTCACATCGCTTGATCACGACACCCCCGATGGGACTCGATCGCAATCCTCATCATTATCACCATCCATGGAACAGGTAGGTAAATCCCCTGCTGCTACTGCTCTATGGAACAGAATGCAGCATGAGTAATTGTGAGAGAAAGGAGAGCTAGAGTGTGAAAAAGCGATGATCTCGCAAACGGACAACTGTTACACTTCTTCGCGTAGCGCAGCCAGCTCTAGCAAATCTTCCGAGGATTTCGGGTTTGCAGAGGGAATGGAATTCGGTGTATTGTGTGGGGGACCAATAGTACAAAGTGAGGTTACTGTAAACATTGTGTGTGCGTGATTCTTGGAGTTGGCGGCTGTGTCAATATTGTTTTTGTTTACATTTATTACACTGCTGAGATCTTAATTCTGTTGCCTATTAGCCTCATTTTTTTGCTTTTGCAATCGCCATGGTAAAAGATGTGCACTCTTCTGGGTCAAATGAATTACCACTGAATTTTGGGACTTTTTCTTTGACATCGGAATTTTCAAGACATACCTAGCGTTTTCCCAGGATACAATCTGCTTCTCTCTCGGTATTTTTGTCTATCAAATTTCCTCTACATTCTTTTTCCCATGATTTCTGCAATTTTGCGGATAATCATGCATGTAAACTTTGGCCCGAATCAATTCTTTATTTGTTTACTCTCCATTAATATTCCTACGACGATAATTTCTGCGTAGTGTTGGTTTTTTGCTGAAATTCTCACTGTAATCTCGTAATTATCACGTGTTGTTAGGAATTATTTGCTGGGAAATCGAGCTTGAAAAAGCGTCTTATCAGATTTGCCTTTCTTAATCTATTTTTCTAAA